TGCCCTCAAGGTTAGAGCGGCACTCTAAACACAAGGTGTGGAGCTGTGAGTAAGTTGAGTTATGAGGAGTGCAGGGTGAACTTTCTCCAGTCTTATAGGACCATATAATCACCCTGTAGCATCACCCATGAGCAACAAAAATAAAACTGAAAAAAGTAAATAAAAACATGCTAACGTGGCTACAACGCACGCAGCTCTGGGAATGTCAGTGGTGGTTGGTCCACCACTTTGGATACCAAAATATCTCAACGTATATTAAAGTGACTGGCATGAAACTTGTGCAGAAAGCTATGTTTGCAGATAATGTAATAACATTCCTTGACGTTTCATATAGCACTATCAAATAAAAATTTCAATTTGTCCAATACTTCTGTATGACAAAAAACATGTAAAACTAACAACATTCCCATCAGTCTCAGCTGTACTTTTGTGCTGATTAGCAAACATTAGTGTGTTCACTCGCTAAACTACAATAGACCATCTCAATAGATCTCCCTCCATCTTACCCTACAGCTGACAAACAGCTTACCTGTTCTGATTTTGATTGTGCAACCACCATCCCCATCAACTCTACTGGTTTTCCCACCCTCATCTCTCTCTACCCATCTTTTTTGGGAATCAATGAGTATAGAGTGGAGCAGTAAAAGCCATCTCCACTGACAACCCCTGCAAGGTCCAGCCTGGAGCTCCCAACCATCCAACACCACCCATCTCTCCTCCCTTCTTTCCTGTTTCAACCAGTCAACACGTATGGTCCTCAGATTGTCTAATAAATCATTTAATCAATCAGACATGGTGTGGTCTTTCTTGCTAAAAGTCTGTTTCAGGATTGTATCGTCAGTTATATTGTACCAATGAACATGAACTAACCGATTTTAACCAAAAATATTAAGCCATTCACCCATCAATCAATCTTCAACTTTTAGCGACATGAAAATTCATCAATTAGGTAGCAGCATGGCTTTTTGCTGAGCGGAGCATGGATGTATAAGTGTTTGGGGGGCCAGACCTCAATGATAACTGTACAAAAACACAGCGTTAGCACTTGTATAAAAGCACAACTTTATCAGTGATTTTGGTGAAACTGGATAATATTTTATGAAGAAAATATAAGACAGATATATAGACATAAATATGCGGAAGCAAATAGCACACTGATTTCCGTTTCACTTATACTTCAAGAGGATGCCTGAAAACAGGTTGCTAACATGTGGTGGACCGACATATGAGGTGGCTGACACAAAGAATGCCAGCAGAACAAGACGATGTCAGAGGCCAACTTGTCACACAACAGCTGAGAATACTACACTACAGACAGGGAAAGCTACATGAAGGCTATTTAGACTACTCAAGGACCTGAGATGTGAAGCATCAAGTGTTGAAAGGGTCTTGTTATGCAATGCAGAGGTCTTTGAGGAGGAGATGTTATCTCCAACTATGTCTGTGACAAATTAGCACTTTGTAGACAGCTTAACACTTCGGATGGTATAGAAACACCTGGTTTGACCCTGGTGCTAACTGTAGCCACTTGAGAATTCATAGAATTTTAAGATTTAAAAAAGTTGATCTTGTACATCATGCTGTGAAAAATCCCCTTTTTGTTCCCTATTTACCAGTCATTAAATTAATTTAAGATTATCGCATATGTTCCAGGGGTAGATTATGTTAGCTAAAACTGTCAAAAGAGGGCAGTA